GGCTTCTGAACAGTCATTCCCAGTAAGGCACATTGGGCAACTGTATACTGTGGGTGTCGGCCACGGTCTCTTCCACAATAACTTAAATAAAAACTCCTGGACAGCAACCTTCTGGTTACATTTTCGAGCCCCCTTAACTCCGACTTGGCAACCGTCTAACATAGCAAGAACTGATTTATAAGAGGAAAAAATAAGAACAGACATTAAATGGCATTTATTAGAATATTATTAGAATATTATTAGAATACTTTTACGTGTCTCTTTAAAACAATCCAGACTTACGATCAACATTAAGTCCTACATCGAAGAAATCCCATTAAGAGGGACATTATTAATATAAAATAACAGCTATTAACCGATGACTGTATCATTCATGCAAAGTTTCTTCTTAAAATGGTAGAAGTGCAGTCTGTTCCCAGATCTCCTCCGGTGACCTACTGCCTTTACGTAGCTTTCTTGCAATTAAACTCTCCTTGCGCGTTCCTCGCTCTTTTCTTCCTGATGAGAAGCTGGTGACATTTAAACTATCAATATTTAAGGATCTGAAAAGTATCTTTTAAATGTGGAGTGCCAGGAGGAAATGTCATGAACTGACACCTGCCAACATTCATTGCAGCAGCAGGTTGAACGAATTCCTCATTATTGACATGACCCAGCGTTAGCACAACCTGACGTACACTCAACTTGATTCTAGTCTTGAGTTGTTCTTCTCGTTCGGCTTGTCTCGATGCACAATCCACCAGGGAGATAAGATAGCAGCTCTTCTCTCCTTCCATGCACAGCTTATTGATTGTTCGCTGTCTGTATCAGTACGATGTATGGCTTATTAAATACTGTGACCTATACAGATACCCTGAAGGGACAGAACATTGATGAGACTTACACAACATTGCACCTCATATGACTCTTGTAAAAAAAAAAGCAGTATATTTATATTTTGCCTGGACCTCTCACCCTGAGACTCCAGCTAGAGGTTATAACTCCATTTCCAAAACTGAAATTCATGGGACTTGTAAAAAAATATGCCCATATGCCATCAGGAAATACTAGATAAATTTATGTGGAAAAAAATAGATTTAATAACTGGTGTTATGCCAACAGACCATGTAATGCCAAAAATTAGACTTGAATATTCGATTTCGCTCAAATTGAGATTCAGACGAATTTGGGCTGATCGGCCGAATTCCATAACTTAGAAGAAACATCTGAACGGAATACCGAGCTAATGACAAGGCGATACCGGAATATATTCAGCTGCTTTGATTAGGGCTTTGGATTAGTGCCAGAATAAAATAAAAATGAATGATAGGAAAACAAATGATTGATGGCTAGGGGACAGCAACTAAATGTTGATTTTGTATTCACAGATCAGGTGAGAAATCAGTAGATTTAAAATGGAGGAGCAGTCAAATAAAAAAAAAATTATATCTATATGTATTTAATATATTAATTTTTTTTTTTATTGTTCTTCCTATTTTACCATCTATTAGTAACTTTTTATCACTTGATCTGTGAACCAAATTGCAGTAAAATGGGCCAATCAGTGTGCTGCAAAATATATACTTAATATTTGTTATGTATATATTTTGCAGTTCACTGATAGGCCCTTTTTTGTTTATCTCAATCATTTTTTTTTTTGGCAAACACTAATCGGCATTTTCCAGATTATCACTACGCAGCAGTGAGCTCACTAGACAAGTCTAAAGAAGCCCTACTACCGCAAAGAGTGACGTAACTGGAGTTATTAGCAGCAATGTTGGAGTAATTACAGGCATACACAGGGCCATCTTTAATAATGATTGTACCCTGGGCAAGCATTTGTTTGGGCCTTCTGGACAATGCCTTCCCCTACCCCCCACTCCCAGGCATGTAATCACGGCATCCACCTCAACTCAGTGGCGGAACTAAAGCAGAAAGAGTCCTGGTGCAAGAATTTTATTGGGCCCCCCAACTGCAAAGTTGGACAAAAGGTAGAATCCTATCTGTCGTGCAACTCCAACAATGCTTTGACATTGTTATATGTCATTTTCTTCTCTTCTTTTAAATATACTTATGAAAAACCTGTCTGTACAATTGCATATGCTTTTTATATTTATTAGTAATATAGGGTTTATAAAGATCGAGATGTTTGTGTTTTGTTATAAATTGAAAAATATATTGCCAGGACAGTCCCATACTGAATATATTATAAAGACTCTTCTAAGATGGCTGCGGCAGCTTCAGGGAGCTAATTTGAGTTACTTCCGGTTCGGGAAAAAGACGTCTGACGTCAGACGTAATTAGACGTAATCTGACGTAAAAATGAGCGGAGACAAGGAAGCCGGCTGGCGAAACCAGGAAGTACATGGACGCCAGTAAACGGAGATTTTTGGCGCCAAATTTGAATGGTATATATACAGAATATGGAGACGAACACTTTATGCACTTTGAAAAAGACTGTTTTGACGGTCGAAACGCGTCAGTGCTGCTACTTTATTGATTTTCACCTGTATGCACTTTATAGATTTCCCTGTTTTTAACTATATATGTTAATTAAATTTTTGACAAATATCCCCTATTTCCTTTGGAATTATTTATATCTCCTGTATCCTGGCAAAAGTGGAGAGATCTGGAGGTGTGGTGGAGTCAAATACATCAGGGATTTGAAAAGAGCGACAAAAGTCAGAGCCTACTATATGTGGCTCTGCAAAGTGTGAGTGGAACCAATATTTACTTATTGACAATTTTTTAGTCCAACAGTATTATGCTATGTTTATCCTTTTCTGTATATAGGTAACATCTAAAGGACAACCAAGTATTTATAAGTATATTATATACATATTTTTACCTGCACTCCTCTATCTTTATCTTTTAACAATAGCTGGGGCTCTACCAATGTCCTGTGTTTGCAGGATTTAATTTAGCACTGAGCTGTGTTTGTGTGTTTGAATATAAGCATGTGTTTGTATGGAGTGTGTTTGTGTCAATGCGGATGTATGTGGTATTGGAGTTTGAATGCAAGTGTGCATTTATGTGTAGTGTTTGTTTTTTAACCCCTTAGCGACCAAGGACGGTTCAGGACCGTCATCGGCATTTTTGCCTTGAGGACCGATGACGGTCCTGAACCGTCCTAACGGTCTGGGGGTACTTACCTGATCGCCGTCGTTCCCCCGGCGGCGATCAGTGTTGCTCCGGTTGTGGGGAGACTGCAGGCAGCCCAGACAGTCTCCCCACACTGATTTAGGACCCCTGTGGCCATGTGATCGCTTAACACAGCGATCACATGGTCACAATAGGTGTCCATAGTGCTGCCTGCAGGGGGACTGTCTGTGCTGACAGGCAGTCTCCCTGCTAGTGTAAAATAAAAAAAATAAAAATAAAGTTAATGGTAATAAAAAAATAATAATAATTATATATGTGTATATATGATATATAGACATATAATATATCTATATAATATATGTCTATATATCATCTATATAATGCCATACTAAGTGTATTTTTATATTAATATGTACTTATATTAATATAAAAATACACTTATAATTAAATTACACACGTATATATATATATATATATATATATATATATATATATGTAATAACTATATATATTGTATATATATATATATATTATTATAAAATATAAATAATAAGTAATTTAAATTAAATAATTTTTTTTAAATAATAATAAAAATTAAAAAAAAAATTATATAACTATATGAAATTTTATTCTAACTGTATTTTAAAATTAATATATATATATTTATATCAAAATACACTTAGAATGAATTTGTATATATATCTATGTATATAAAAATAAATAAAAATAATAAGAAATATACATATGTCCATATACAAAATTACATAAATAATTATATAAATATACACGTAGACTTCAAATATATAAATATGCATATATATTTAAATTCTACGTGCGTATTTATGTAATAGTTTTACATAATTCAGTAATTTTATTGATTGCAATTTAAGGGACCTGCCTGCCAACCCAGGCCGAAATTCCAGAGAATTGAATTTGCTAGCACTGTATTTTACCCTGTAACGTTCTACGACACCCTAAAACCTGTACATGGGGGGTACTGTTTTACTCGGGAGACTTCGCTGAACACAAATATTAGTGATTCAAAACAGTAAAACATATCACAGCGATGATATTGTCAGTGAAAGTGACTTTTTTTGCATTTTTCACACACAAACAGCACTTTTACTGATGATATAATTGTTGTGATACGTTTTCCAGTTTTTAAACACTAATATTTGTGTTCAGCAAAGTCTCCTGAGTAAAACAGTACCCCCCATGTACAGGTTTTATAGTATTTTTGAAAGTTACAAGGTCAAATATATGGGTCAAATATTTTTACATTGAAAATGGCCAGGTTGGTTACGTTGCCTTTGAGAGCGTATGGTAGCCCAGGAATGAGAATTACCCCCATGATGGCATACCATTTGCAAAAGAAGACAACCCAAGGTATTGCAAATGGGGTATGTCCAGTCTTTTTTAGTAACTACTTGGTCACAAACACTGGCCAAAATTAGCGTTCAATTTAGTTTTTTTACTTTTTTCACACACAAACAAATATGAATGCTTACTTTGGCCAGTGTTTTCGACTAAGTGGCTACTAAAAAAGACTGGACATACCCCATATTGAATACCCTGGGTTGTCTACTTTAAAAAAAATATGTACATGTGGGGTGTTATTCAGAGATTTATGACAGATAATAGTGTTACAATGTCACTATTGATAAATTTAAAAAATTTATGTTTTGAAACCGCAATATTCTACTTGTACCTATAGCCCTATAACATGCAAAAAAAAGCAAAAAAGCATGTAAACACGGGGTATTTTTAAACTCAGGACAAAATTTTGAATCTATTTAGCAGTTTTTTTAATTCGCTTTTGTAGATGAGTAAAAGATTTTTCAAGTAAAAGTCAAAAAACATGTATTGTTTTCAATTTGTCATCATATTTTTTTAAAATTAAAATACATGAGATTATATAAATAATGGTATGTAAAGAAAGCCCCTTTTGTCCTGAAAAAAACAATATATAATTTGTATGGGAACAGTAAATGAGAAAGCGGAAAATTCCAGCCAAACACAAACACCACAAAAGTGTAAAAATATGCCTGGTCGCAAATGTACAACATCGCAAAAACAGTCCAGTCCTTAAGGGGTTAATGTAGGGATTTGTTTATATATAATTTTATTGTTTAACACAGAGGTGTGTTTTTATGTAGTTTTGACGTTTCAATGCAGGAGTGTGTTTGTATGTAATGTTGAAGTTTGAATGGAGGGGTGTATTTGTATTTAAAGGATCACTATAGTGGCAGGAAAACAAATTTGTTTTCCTGGCACTATAGGGTCTTTAGGTTCCCCCCCACCCTCAGGGTCCCACTCCCGCTGGGCTGAAGGGGGAGGAAGGGGTTAAACACTTACCTTTCTCCAGCGCTGGGCTCCCTCGGCGCTGGGGACTCTCCTTCCTCTTCCGACTTCATCCGCTGAATGCGCATGCGCAGCAAGAGCCGCGCGCGCATTCAGTCAGTCCATAGGAAAGCATTTCTCAATGCTTTCCTATGGACGCTGGCGTCTTTTCACTGTGAAAATCACAGTGAGAAGCGCGGAAGCGCCTCTAGCGGCTGTCAATGAGACAGCCACCAGAGGCTGGATTAACCCTAAAGTAAACATAGCAGTTTCTCTGAAACTGCTATGTTTACAGCTGCAGGGTTAACCCTAGTTAACCCTAGAAGGACCTGGCACCCAGACCACTTCATTGAGCTGAAGTGGTCTGGGTGCCTATGGCGGTCCTTTAATGTTGGTGCTCAGATACACAGATACACAGAATGACTACATACAAATAAACACACAGATACACACACTAACAACATTTAGGTTCACATACAGATACACAGGCACATACACAGAGACATACTAAGACACATGTAAAATGTACCATTTTAAACCCACCCCCCAGTTTCCTACCTTTTGCTGGAGGGTGGCTTTCCTGGGGTCCAATGTGGTGCCTGAGACTGATGGGAGTGAGGAGCCTTAATCCTTACTGCCACAGCCTCCTTCATTTTGTACGACTCCTCCTGCCCCCTCCCGAGCAGCTCCTCTCTTTATGGGAGGGAGTGACTTGCGGCTGTCACTTCCTCCCATACTGGCAAAAAGCAAGGACCTGCTGATACAAGCCCACCGGTTGGCCCTAAGTGGGAAAAAAAATTGCTGAGGGCAGTGGGGCCCACACAGCACCGGTCGCCCACATAGCACTCCTCGTACACATCACACACAAACACACACAGCACCCCTCACACACACACATACACTGTAACCCTCACTGCAGTCTGTATGTGTGTATTCACCAGTATATGTGTGTGTATTCAGCAGTCTGTGTGTATTCACCAGTATGTGTGTGTGTATTCAGTAGTCTCTGTGTATTCAGCAGTCTGTGTGTGTGTGTGTGTGTGTGTATTCAGCAGTCTGTGTATATTCAGCAGTCTGTGTGTGTGTTCAGCAGTCTCTCTGTGTGTTTGTGTGTGTGTACTCAGCAGTCTGTGTACTCAGCAGTCAGTGTGCGTGTATTTAAAACGTGTTGCACCGATTTCATACATTCTAATACAATAATTAATGCTTTAACTTTCAAAAAGAACATTTCTTGTGACAGATAAACGTTTTGGTTAAATACTTAATCAAATTGTCACTTCTAATTTTTCAAAAGCTTATTACATTTAATGAAACTTCTAACTGTGCGGAAACAAAGCAGGGTTTTGGTCATCAGGACTGTAGAGGAGATATGACCAAATATGTGGTTTTGCTGCAACTTAGGGACAGTCTGTCATGGAAATCGTTGGGCTGGGCATCTGTGATGAATCGGATCTAGTTGTGGTCTTGACTCTAACATTATGGAGAGCTCTGTGTCTGAGTGTTTTCTATTATCAGGGTTTTAGTGTGAGAGAGTACCTGGATGGAAACGAGGTATTGTCTGCAGGTGGTTATTGTGGGCATGGACCGTAAATTGTATCGCATTCGTGGTGGCATTTCAAAGAGGAAAGGAGGATGTCCCTTTTCCCAGAGTTTTTCTTTACTCCGCTTGTTTCCCTGAGACGGCTGTGTTGTATTATCTTCCACAGGTAAACATGAACATTGACCATTAGAACCTCTTCCTCAAACTTAAATGGTGAGTTCTGTAGAGAAATCATTCGTAATGTTTTTTTTTAATGATAGTGAATCATTTGGAAAGTTTATTAAATTGAGGCCAAAGTGTGCTGTAATTGTACATCACGTGCACCTGACTTCCTCATGACGTGTCCAGTCACACATGTTATACCATTGAGCAGGCATAGAAGCTCCGCGTAGGCTGCATTCATTGTATAATGGAGGATTGGTGTTTGTCATGGTACCTGGCCACTCCTGCATCATTCGCAGATAATCATTTTAGGGTCTTATGCTCAGTCTCACACTATTCTGACTTCAGTTCTGATGCTGGAAGGTCCATCTCCTTGTCAATTTACAATCCAGTGTCAATGCATCTTAATAATGATGTAAGTTAACCTATAAAATTCCATTGTGGTCAGTAGCCAATGTTCTGTTGTGGTCTCTGTACCCAATAGCATGTTTCTTGCTCTGTGGTAACCTTTGGTATTTTGACCTGTCCTGTCCTGACCTTTCTGCTCTCTGCATCGACTGACTTAACTCTGTCTAATGTTCACACATACCTCTCATGTCCTTGACCTTGGCTAGCATATCACCTATTCTCTTGTCTGTTCTTGTTTTAAAGTCAGTCACTTTAATGTCCGATAATACACCTTCTATCCTACCCTCCGTTTGGTGCTGGTTTAAGTACTGCGTGTTCACTTGCCTTACCACTGCGACGGTGTTGTAAACTCAATAGTTTCTGCAATTGTAATCTGAATACTTTGAAGTGTTGGCGCATTGCCTCTAGGGCCAACCTTGGCAAGGACAACTATCACATCTACTCAGTGTATACATCTAGAGCTGGAAATACGGCCATCAGATTAAAGGATGAATACATTCTCCCTAAACCATGATAAAACAGACAATATTAGTACATTCAACTGGCAATTAAGTATCTCCAAAAGTGAATTCTCTTTCCTTCCTTTATAGACATGGGTGACGTGTCATCAAACGCAAGTTATAATGGATGTTTTTTATAAACCACTGCAGTAAATTTGAATACACCCGCAATATGTTTGGTGTCACAAAATACATTGGTGCCCCATTAACCAGATAGGAGTTATAGGTGTCGTCTCCAGTCACAATATGTACATTTTATATAATGTAAGTAAGTGGCACATAGTCAATGAAAACATTTGTGTTCTTGTCTACATTTATTTAAGGTTTTCCAATATGAATTTTCCATATTCATGAATGTAGCTCCCGAGATACAAAGAAAACAGAACCTTTCCTGGTTCTGGAAAGCAGAGCAGCATTGTCCAATTATTCAATTTGCTCAGTTCATCTTGGCTAAATAGATCCTTCAAGACCAATAACGTAACACTATATAAATCATGGCTGTGTTCTGCGTGTTTGGTGGGCCACAAACAATCCTACTGGAGCACACACCTTAACACATACAGTCCTCTAGCTGGGCAATAGTGGCTATAGAAATTAGAAGACCCAGATCTCTTCCTTAAGACCAAGTAAATGATACATTGTGTTTTGAAAAATCAACACTCTTGTAATGTCCTGCTTTTACTGCTCCATGTGGTCCGTCTCCAATAGAGTTCAGCTAGAGACTGATACACAGAAACGTCGAAAACCAGCGTCAACCACGAGAAAAGGAAAATATTTATTTGTAGACACCTGAATAATCAGCACAGGAGGGAAAGAACATACAGCAGAACTCCTTACACTTTTCGGACCAGTTAGTTCTTACTCATAGTCCAATAGAGTTCTCCTACTTTTCTGGAGGCTGGATGATTTCTGCCTCAATTTTACCACAATTGGATTTTTCTGCGTAGATCCTGGATTCAATGTTGACTTTAAATCAGCTGCAGAGAAACAAAATATATATTCAGATGTTTAGCAGTTTGTGCTAATAATTATAAATAACTATTTAGTCATGTAGTCTGTGTTTTCCTGTGAAGAGGATTCGTCATATTGACCACATGCTCTCAGATGTGACTGGCAGCTAATAAACAGATGTTATAATTTCAATGGTCCTCAGGTGGTAACGATACCTGGGAAGAAATCTTATCTACAGATCATAGATTGCAATGGCTCTTTGCACATTAAGCTCCCATGGACCTTTGTAATTTACATGCTGTGTGTTTGACTGGAAATGGTTTAAGGGAGATGTAGAACATCTATGGCATCTGCACAATGCTAAGCATATATTGGTCTGTCATAGCCTTGCTGGGACTAATAGACTTCTACTGAATCAATCACTGCTGGAATTACTGCCTCCCTAGCATCCTCACTTCTAGCTGAATGCCTCTGACAGTGGCCGCTGCTCATTTAACAAATTACAACCTCACACCAAACTATAAAAACAAATGTAATTGATTTCACAGAGCCATACAGGGTATTCTGACCTTATAGCATGTTCCTTGGAACTCTGAATGTATTATGGGTTTCAGTGGTGGAATTAATGTTGGAAGGGTCCAGGTGCTTTATTTATGATGGCTGTATAATTCATGGAAAAGAGTTAAGATGGACTGCTTCCTTACAGACACACCATAAAGATAAGAGATATCATAGGGCATAGGACCTCATGGGGCTAAGTGGGTAGTGAGGTTCTTTAAACTTCACCAACTGACCACAAGTCACCACTGACGAGTGAATTATCAAATTATTTGGCATTATTTAAAGGTTAATAGGTGTTCATCCTCTTTTGATGTGATGGGAGTATTGAACTTTTTCTGAATGTTTTGTCCTACGATGCACTTTTTCAGATATTACACTCAAACAAAACTTACATAAGTGCATGTTTCCAGGTGCACGTTCTTCTACTTTCTTCTCTTGCTTGGCTGTAGTTTCTGCAGACCCATCTGTCTCTGCACAATCCACCTTCTTACGCCGGCGCCGGAGGATGCCATCAAGCTCGTTCTCAGCAACCTTTTTGCTGGCCCTTCGAAAGCTTTTCCTTTGGTTGGGTTTCCTCATTGTATCCTACAAGACCAGTAAGGCAGTATGTGCGTAAAATATATAGCTTCCATTAGTCATTGGAGACCAGAAAGTAAAGACTCCATTAATTGTTGGATATGAGAAATTAAAGACTGTTTATGTGTAATTGGAAATGAGTTAGTAAACATCATGGAAACACATACTCATTTATTTCATTTTATTACAGTTCTAGATATAGTAAAAATGAACGTGGCAATTGCTAACACAATATTCTGTCCATCTAGTATTTTACATTATTACATTGTATGGTATTATTACATCTTACTGTACATGTACAGTGTATTAGATTATTATAACACGTTCTAGGAGTTATAGTGAGTGCAAGGACTCTATGGGGTCAGAGCATCTGTTTTTGTCCAAACTTTGTGAAATAAAGAAAAAAAATAAAAGATTCTCATCACCTAAGGCCCAACCCCTACTTGTGGCATGCCATAGGTGAAAGTTTTGATTTCCTTATTATACATCAAAAACATTTGTGAGACAAAACTGTAAAATGTCTTTAAAACTTTTGATGATTACAAAACGTTACATGTTCTGTGTCAGCAGCCTTTGTGTAGTGTGGTAGTGGTTATGGTGCTCGGAGTTAATTCAGTTCTAGAATACCTTTAAACTTGTCAGTTGTATTGATTTGGCCATTTAGTTAATATTTGGTGTTAGTTCTGCCTAAACTTTCCTTTAAAAGAGGAATCTGAGTGGGAATAAAAAATGAAAACTTGTTTTTTCTTCTTTTTGGATTTTTAGAGCTACAGTTTTATAAAATGGGGTAAACCTTGAACCAACAAATTCTGGAACAAGCTTGCGTTTTAAGTAAAAGAAAATGTGTTCGGTAATAAATGGGACCCATTGCACTTGGTGGGATTTATACAGCCGAAAAAAACAGAAAAAAAAAAATCATTATCCACCTGGCAACGGCTACCCGAACTAAACCTTTCCTCTCAGGTTTCGTCTGTTGTGACGATGTAGTTATGTGAGCTCCTCCTCTTCCATAAATATCCCTCACCCACCGCATCGCTGGGCAAATACACAAGAACCGGGTTCAATCATATATAGCTTCTAAAAATAACAGTTCCGGATGTTTGTAAATTTGACTGTATTTATTTTAAGAGAGAAATATCTAGATAAAAGTAAGTTGTAGATCAAATAAACAAATTGAACAATAATCACTTGCTACTTACCGTAAAAATTCCTTTAAATTCATTGATCACACTCTTCCGTTTGTTGATAGCTTGTGTGTGCTTCTGGAATGAAAACAGACCATCATGTATGGAAGCATTGCCTAGCTCATTGCACAGTAAATGGCTATAGAAATTGAATTCAGCTAATGTGGGGTTTACCGACTAGGGGCTCGTTTACAATCTTGTCGCTGCTTATTGCAAGCCGACTACTGCTTTCTAAAATGTGTGACGATACGTTTGACGAGGAGTGGCTGCTTAGCTTCCTGTATCCTATAGGAGTCAATTCAAGTACTAATTCCCACCTATAAAGCACTGAACAATTCTAGCCCCTCTTATATCTCTTCACAGATCCATAGGAATGCCCCTTCTCTCTGATTTGCCCGTGACCTTCTCCTGTCTGACTCTCCCCTAGTCTTTAAACGTTCAAGAAGTGCCTTAAAACCCATCTCTTTCGGAAAGCTTATGGCCTCCCAGTGTAACCTCTACCTCACATACCTGTCTCTTGCTCTCTCCTAAAGGGCAGCACTCTACTCTCTCCTCCAGCTCTGCTTCACTCCACCTTATTTGATTGCTATTTCCTGTCCTCATGTGTTTTATACCCCACCTCCTATAGACTGTAAGCACGCGTGAGCAGGGTCCTCTTCAACCTATTGTTCCTGTATGTTTTTGTAATTGTATCAATTATAGTTAAATCCCCCCTCTCATAATATTGTAAAGCGCTATGGAATGTGCTAGCGCTATATAAATTCCAATATTAATAATAATAATAATAGTAACTGCCAAATATCAACAGGGAGTTGCCGGCGCTAAGTGGCGGCTCGTGGTTTCCATTATACTCTATGAGAGCTGCTGCCCTCTACTTAGGAACAGGTTTCTGACTGATTTACAACACTGTCACTAGTCATTACCAGCTGCCATTAACCTTAAACCACCGTCCTCCAGCCTAGTGTTCAGAAATAAATGATAATTAATCTGTATATGCCCTATTGAAACACAAAGTCTTGTTTCAACCCAGTTGCTAAGTTTTATCGGAAAGCCTCTACTTGCCTGTTGCTAATAGCCACACAGAGCGAAGTGTGTGTTTCAGTGCTTCACTAGCAAGAAGCTAATATACAAGGGGCTGGAATTTGTAGCGGCAGCTGTTATTAGTGATAGACTACAAAAATGTTGCAACAATGTTGTAAACCTGGTGTCAATCCATTACCATTACACCTAAGAATGACAGCTTGCAACAGCTGTTTACCAACTAAAAAAATGAGCACCAGAAAATAAATTAAAATTAATATCCTAACCAAAGCCACCACACTGGAATAATAAAGGCATTATTTTTGAACTAATTTCGGTTTTTGAGGAACCATTTCCATAAATAAACAGAGATTCATACAAACCTGTCCTTCTTTCCGAGCTGGCCTTAGAACAACACCATTTTTAATTCTCTCAACCATCTCCTTCATCGCCTCAGCTTTGACATCAACGTTCTTTGCAGCTAAAAATAAATATGGATCGTATTATGGCCTCAGTATAATATTTCTGGATATCAATTTATAAACAATATCAGAATATTAAAATATTAAAACATTTTTAAAAATATGAAATAGCTGTAAATGTTTATCCAAAATATTACATTATTTGAAAAGCGTATCGGAAAATGTTAAATCGAGGCCCTCCGTAGACTAGAACAGACGATTTTTGAGGACACACAGAGGACCACTTCTAAATGCTGATTGAACGTTGGTGGTGGCAGAGGGGGGTAAATGAGGAGAGAGGAAAATGTAGCAACAAAAACATGGGCTAAAATGAGTAGGCAAAGAAAGATGGGGTCTTGACACATATACACCGATGATATTTCTATAAATAAACAAGTTGCATCTTGCCACTGCAGCAATGTTTTTATATGATTGTGTATCCACGTGAATTATATTACATGGGCAGAACAAAAACGTATCCTACATAAAATAGGAGAGCATGTTAGGAACATAAGGGATAGCTATGAAAAATATAGTGTGTCTCTACATTTTAAAAATGCAGCGACCCACTTGGACTTAAATTTATAACATAGAAACATAGAATGTGATGGCAGATAAGAACCATTCGGCCCATCTAGTCTGCCCAATTTTCTAAATACTTTCATTAGTCCCTAGTCTTATCTTATAGTTAGGATAGCCTTATGCCTATCTCACGCATGCTTAAACTCCTTTACTGTGTTAACCTCTACCACTGCAGCTGGAAGGCTATTCCATGCATCCACTACCCTCTCAGTAAAGAGCAAGTCAAAATATTATTAGGAACTGGAGAGGGGTTACAATATTATAAGGATACTAGGACAGTTAAATTTTTAATTTAAATACATCAATTTTATAATTTCATAACAATATATTTTTCTTATATTTATAATAAGGAGAGGGAGAATATCACAGAGTAGATCCATATTTAAGATATTTTTTGGAATTGGTTTTATTTCTCATTGAGTAATAGTTTTAAATATTATTTAATAATTTTAAAATATTATAATATTTGCATTGTTCAAATTAAATGATAACAATGGTGTTTTTAAATACATGCATGGTTGTTTCTATTTTAATATTTTTTTTCCATTTTGCTCTTTTCTTTTTTATGTATTATTTATTTGGCAAACAGGATCTTGAACCATGGATATTTGCCATTATATAACCTGGTTAGGAGAGTCACAACAAGGAGGCATGGGCGTAGGAACCTCAAAAAATCTGGGGGGGATAACATTTTTACTCGCCGTGTATATTTTTATTCCGTAAACTAGGAGTTGTTTATCCCATTGTACAGTGCTATGGAATTTGCTGGTGCTATATAAATGACAAAATAATAACATTAAAGGGTCACTATAGGGAAGGGGATTTACTTACCCAGATACAGCACCGGGATCCTCCTGATGCTGCGCCCCCTATTTCGTCAAAATGACGAAATAGGATGTTGCGAGCAGGGAGCAATAAAACGCTTCTATTCAGAAGCACATGTGCAGATACTTCCTTGGGGCGTTATTCATGTCTCGACTAGGAAGCACCTCTAGTGGCCATCTGAGTGTCCACTAGAGGTATTCCTCATCAGTAATGTAAATACTGCCTTTTGACGAAATGTCAGTGCTTACATTAAAAAGCCTGCAAAGACATGCCATAGACACCAGAACTACTACGGTTAGCTGTTGTGGTTCTGGTGACTATAGTGTCCTTTGAAAATAGAGGGGAAAAAAGAATCATCACAAATGTAAGAAATAAAATGTCTGTATCATTATTCTAAAAAGTATTTAAATAAAAAAAAAAATGCACATTCCTTGCTTAATTTTTAGCACGACATTTGACACGAACATTTTGTACTTTGCAGATTACATTTTATATTTTTTTATACATATACAGATTGTGTAATACTGCCCCTGACTTAGGGTGACCACATTTCCTAACTGTCATTCAGTGACACTTTCAGAAGTGCATTCCATACATTTTACTACCCGTCTCTACCCCTTCCATTTATATTAGAACCCCACCTACCCCTTCCATGAATATTAGAACCACCCCTACCCCTTCCATGAATATTAACCCCCCTACCCCTTCCATGCATATTAGAACCCACCCTACCCCTTCCATTCATATTAGTACTCCCCTAACCCCTTCCATGCATATTAGAACCCACCGTAGGGTGGGTTCCATTCATATTAGTACTCCCCTAACCCCTTCCATGCATATTAGAACCCACCCTACCCCTTCCATTCATATTAGTACTCCCCTAACCCCTTCCAATTATTTTTCTACCTACCCCTCTCCCCCATCCCTATTAGTAGCCCCCTAACCCCTTCCAATTATTTTTTTACCTCCTCCCATCCATATTAGAAGCCCCCCTAAACCATTCCAATTATTTTTCTACCTTCCCCCTCCTCCCATCCATATTAGTAGACCCCCTAACCCCTTCCAAATATTTTCTTCCTCCTCCTTCCTCCCATCCATATTAGAAGCCCTCCTAACCGCTTACATTCATTTTTCTACCTCCCCCCTCGCCCCTTCTTTAACCCTTCCATTAATTAACACTAAAAATGCTCAGGCAGCTGTTTTTTTTTTCTTTTCAGAGGTGACCGGCTCTGCTCTCCCCCTACAAACTGTTGTCCCCCCCTTTTACCTGACATAGCATGGGGACCTCTGGACTTATGGTGGGCGCAGTGTCAGACTGAGCTCCGGGTAGTCACGTGACACCCGGCGCTCTTGCGCGGAGGGGAAGGTGCTCCCCTTCCCAGTCTGCAGTGCGTGCGGTTCCCTG